TTTACTCTCTCTACCAATCCTATGGGACAGTTAGCACCTGCATTCCTTTCCACATTTGACAGGTGACTTTTTTTCCTTAAATTTTTTTATTGTGGTAAAACATAACATAAAATTTACTACCTTAACCATTTTTAAAGTCAGTGGTTTTAAGTACATTCATATTGTTGTGCAACCATCACCACCATCCATCTCCAGAACTCATTTTGCAAAACTGCATCTCTATACCCATTAAACAATAACTCCCCATTTCCCCTCGCCTGGCCCCTGGCAACCACCATTCTACTTTCTATCTCTATGAATTCAACTCCTCTAGGTACCTCATATAAATGGAATCATACAGTATTTGTCTTTTTTGACAGGCTTATTTCACTTAGCATAATGAGGTTCATCCATGCTGTAGCATATGTCAGGATTTCCTCACTTTTTAAGGCTGAATAATATTCATTTTATGTATATATCACATTTTCCTTATCCATTCATCCATTGATGGACACTAGGTTGTTTCCATATCTTGGCTATTGTGAATAATGCTGCCATGAACATCGGTGTACAAATATCTCGAGACTCTGCTTTCAATTCTTGGAGATATATACCCAGAAGTGGAATTGCTAGATCATAGGGTAATTCTATTTTTAATTTTTTGAGGAAATGTCAAACTTTCCCACAGCGGTTGCACGATTTTACATTCCCACAAACAGTGCACAAGGGTTCTAATTTCTCCCATTCTTGCTAACGCTTGTTATTTTCTGTTTTGTTGATAGCCATCCTAATGAGTGTGAGGTGACAATAAGTGACTTTTTGAATACGTATTTAATTGAAATGGAGGCCCAGAAACAAGTTGAATCACTTATGCTCAAAGTCCCACCGCTAATAACCACAGAAGTGGGCTCAAGTCACCTGACCAACACAATGTGCATTTGGCCCTATGAAGTAGGTTTTGTGGTTCTCATGGCCATTTTTCAGATGGGAAACTGAGGCTCAGGGGCCCAACCTATTGACATTTGAATGAAAAATGAAGGAAATGTGGCCAGGCGGGTGGTGAGCACAGGGCCAGGTCTGGAGCCCAGGTCCCCGGACCCTAGATGCAGGCTCCTTCCTGCGAGACAACTGCTCTTCACTGGTGGACATCCAGCACCCGTCTCTGCTTTGCTCCCAGCCTCAGGCTTTGACCCAGGCTGCCAGTGTGTTTTCACTGCTGGGGATTGCCCCTCCTTTTCTGTGTCTCTCTGTGTCCCTCGGTTTCTCTTGGTTTCTGGGTCTCTCTGAACTCTCAATCTCTCTTTGGGTCTCTTGGTGTCTCTGTGTCTCAGAGTCTTTCGGTGTCTCTGGGTCTCTCTGGATCTCTTTGGGTCTCCAGGTCTC